CTCGACTGCATGGAGTGATTTTTTTCTGGAATAAAATTTAAAACGATTTTCATTGCAATAAGAAGGTTGAATACATAGACTCATTAACGTGTTTCTGTAAAAATGAAAAAAAAAAAAAAAAAACTAGTAAAAGACTTCGATAATTTGTACATTGAAATTCAGAATGATTTTTTTTCTCGTCGACGTGGCACGGTTTCCCGCTGTCTATTCGACCAATATTTTCATGGCAACTGCTCTGACGAGCTTTTTTTTCTTAGTGCCTCGACTTCATGAATTTAAGCGTGTTACTAGATTTTCATCTAGGTCCCACCCGTTGGCTGCTAAAGTAGTTAAACCCAATCGTCACTTCTATTCCTCGCACTTCCCGGCAGTGGACCTCTTTCCGTTTACTTGCTTCACTGCTAACAAAAATCTTCAAAAATATAAATGCAGCATTAATCGCCATCTTCTTGAACCCAGTTCATCTTTTATCCTTACCCCAATCCAGTCTTTCTCTCTCACTTTCATTCTATATATCTCCCTGTATAATAGTGGCATTCTCGCTTCGCTTGGCATGAAATGATTTAAAAATAAACTAGGAAGGTTTGAGACATATATGGGGAAGATATCAGAATAATCTGTAACCTTTAATGGGGACAAATATGCTGCATGCGGACAAACGATAAACTCAGTAGATACAAAAAAATAGTTTTTAAAAAATAGTAAATAATATTAGGTGATTTCTCACCGGATTTTATCTAACCGATACAGCGAGACAATCCTAAGTGATTTGGAAGACCTACCACGGCAGCGGAGATAATATTAGCAACATATGTAGATGACACTGTGCTGATGACAGACTCGGAATAAAAACTGAATGTCTATAATATAAAAGGAAACAGCTATACATTGGCGACGTCAAAAAATCAAACGAGTGTTGAGACAATTAAATATCGGGAAAGGGTTTTAACAGAGGATGGAAAATTACTCATTGGATTCGCGAAAGAGGCATTCCTAAAATCTAAGCAACGTCTTGAAAAAAAGATAGATTTCGTTTGGAAACCAAAGAAATAAAAACAGTGTTGTTTTGCTATGTGATATTCATACTGTCTTATAGCCGTGGATGCTAGACAATCGAACCTAAGAGGAGGAGAAAACTGGATGCAAAAGAAATCTGGTTCTACAGAAGGATACTGATAATTGCATGGACGGAACCAGTAAACAACGATTTAAAGAAAATGACAAGAAGAAGAAAGCTTATACTTAGAATCAGAAAGAGACAACTGAAATTTCTTGGACACTTAATGAGGAATTCAGACAGTTATGTGTCATATGTGCCATACGTGATACATGCTTAAGCGATCATGTACCTTTCGATACATGACCGACGTGGCAGATTTTTAGCGCAGTAGGTTGCCATTTCTTTCTGCGATAGACCAGTTGCCATCCAAGGCTATAGAACTTGGTCTGACCTGCTATTTACCCATAGCTGGGGGGAGAAGAGGATTCATATCTTTCCCAAGGGTATTAGCAAGTAAGTGAATGTAATGGATTCGACTGGAATTCAAACTCGGCTCTCAATCCAAGCGGAATTAAGGGTTTGGAAAACCCTTACAGAGCAAGAGAGACGGGGGAAGGCGGCAAGTCATCTACCAGACGAGATTGTTTTAAATGGATGGCGGAACGAGTGCAAAAGTAGAGGAACTGCTAAAAGCTGGGTCTTGTTTTTATTTTGCTCCACCATTTTAGCTATTACTCCGGATGATCAACAGATGGCGGAATAGTTTAAAATGGACGAAAAAGAAATATGATAAAAAGGATAACTTATTTTCCATGTTGCTTCAAGGAATGTTTTATAAAAGTGAATTATGAGTTTTGAGTATAAAATTCGAACAAAATTCTAATGAGAATCAAATCCTATAATTCATATCTTAATTCCATTTTCTTAGGCAAATGAAATTATTGAAACCATGATTTGGCTAATTGCCATTTATTTTATTTCAATATTCCGTTCCTCCTTCCATGAGCAGCTTCCTCACAATCCCAGCCTAACGATAGGAAAACGTGAAATTTTCGATATTATAACTGCATTTAATGTAAAAACAAAGTTTGCGTTCATTATTCATAAGATTTTCTTCATCTTTATCAAACTTTACGCTGATAATTTCTCCGGACGTCTTGCGTTGCATCTTGATAGCCTTGAGAAACTTTACCTTCTGATTGCAAATGACAGATTTATATGAAAGAACTCAATCTTATTTCCATTACGATTTTATACGAAGTTATACGCAATCATAATAATTGACTGTATAAAAATTCATTGATGCATCATGCCGAAGAAGTTAACTCCTATATATACTACCAGCTAAAGTAGTATTGTCACTTGGTTTGAATATTGTATTTTGGTGTGAAAGTGACAGCAACCATACAATGTTGATTCCTACCTATATCTACCTATGATCGATATATGACACACACACATATATATATATATATATATATATATATATATATATATATATATATGTGTGTGTGTGTGTGTGTCTTTTGAACAATAAAAACTATTAACAAAATTAAAATTTTCAGACACTGGGTTGTATATTGATATTTTTTGTTTTATTATTTCAGTTAGGTTCTTCGACTAATTTCGGCTCGCATGGCCATCATCAGGAGAAAAAAAACCCTGCTTCTTAGTAGCAGTGAACTACGGGAATGAATGACTGTTTCTGAATAAAGTGAATTTTATCTGTAATTTTCATTTGCTTTTTTATCGTTAATTTTATTTAGTCCTTGTGTTGGTCAAACGGCCTCTTTCCAGTTGTTTTTAAGAAAGAGGATGGTAGATTCCTGACTAAGAAGTCCTTCCATGTCTATTTTGAGCGTTTTATTGGTTACTAGGAATGGGATGTGCGTGTTAAGTGTATGTTATCTTTTAGTTCTTTGAGAGTGTGTGTGATATGTATATATTTGTGTGAGTGCGTGTATACGTATGAGACCTTAACCCCTCTGCAAGCATGTCTGTCTTGTGTGGGCGAGAAATGTGGGTGGAGTGTGATATATTACTTCTATCTATGTTGTTAAATTTGTGGTCAAGCCCATCTAGACGAAGTGTTATAAGGCGCAAGTTCCATTTGTCTTCATGTTCCTCTAGTATTTTTCTAAGGTTATCTTTTCGGTCTATTTCTATTTTTTTCAATTATAGTGAATTATGCCAAATTCACTCACCCATGCCAGGGTTTTAAAATCGTGTTTTTCTAGGCGGAAATGTTGTTCTACAGGTAATAATCTTTCATAGGGAGCCGACTTGATCCGATTCCGATAATTATTAATTCTGTAGTGAAAGGGCCATTCAGATTTTCCCTCATTGTTTTTCGCATAGTGTGCCTTCTAATAGGTAAATTTTGTTATGACGTCTACAGTTAGAGTTGTGGTAGATGTTGAAAGTAGATTTAATGCAAATTTAATTGATCTTCAGCTGAACCATCTGAGTAAAAAAGAAACTTAAACTTGAAAAAAAAAAAAAAAGAAGATAAATGATACCCATTTGAACTATGACACCATTAATGTCGTAAAATGACATCAACAGACGAGATATAGTGATAGACTAAATATCCGGGTTTATGATATTAGCCGTTTCCCTACAAGGAAATATTTGGCATTCATTGATCCAAGAGCCACCACTGTTTTGAGTTGAAATATATAAAAATGTTAAAACATTTTTCAAGAATATAGGTTTATCCAGTTCCTTTTTATCTCTCTTTTCTGTATTCATGAGGGTTTCCTTCCTAACGTTTTATTTGAAGTGGTATGGAATGCCAACATCTTGAAAACGTCATCATTTTCTCTTCCAGTTACATTTGCTATCAATTTTAGTTGTTGCTGCTGTTGTTCCTAGTCTTCAAGTGATGCCATTGCTATTACAGTACAGTTCATTGTGATTGTGTAGCGCCAATCGACAATGTTCAAAGAAGGATGGTCTTTGCCAAGACTCGAAGTTTTCACTCACTCACAACCAGTTTTAACCAAAAAAAAAATCCTATCTTACTTATTTCTTTTTTAAATAGTGTATTTTATTGAAACTTAACTTTTCCTTTAATCATGCCTTTTATTGAATCTTGCTTTTCTTGCCTTTTATTGAATCTACCTATACCTCTGCTGACTATTCTCGAATGACACTCCTAATGTGTGCAAAGGTCTGAAGAAAATCAAGCACTTTCAGAATTGACTTAGCGAGAATGACCATACTTCAAGAGAACCGTCTATAGAATTATTTAGATAGAATTAATGCTTATCTTTACATAATCTAAGTGAAGGTGCAAGACATTCCAAGAAAGGTTTTACCATTTAAAGTGTCCTGTCTGCGTGGCACAGAAGACGCCGATGGCAGAGCAGCATCCTCTAACTCGACAAAAGAAAGTAAAGGTGATCATATTCTGTGTCGATGATTTCAGACGCATGTTAACGCATAGATTCACTCTGGCATAAGCTCGACCTCTATATATTCGAAATTGAATAACCCAAAAAGGATTGCAATGTCGCTAAATCAGTTTTAGACGGCTTCTCTCATCCATATATTGTCTGTTTTGCTTAACGTTCGTCTTTTTCTTGAACTCAGATGAAAACTTGGAAATTCTTTAACAATTTGCGTTGAAATTAACATTTTCTAAAATCGTAACTCATAATTATAGTTTAATGGAAAGTGTTTCTTATTTTTTAATGTCAATCAGTGTCGCTTTCGTGTGTAAGATTGGTGTCTTCAGGTCAGAATGAAAGACAAAATTGTGTCATTAAATAAAGCTTTCCAACGGTCTCATTTTCCCCACTTATGTTTGGAGTCTATATCCGGTTATCCGCAGTTTTAGATATAGAGAAAAGAACAGGGCGATATAGGCTAACCGACCTAACCTACCAATAAAGTTACGAGGTGCCTGAGAATAAGGTTAGTAAGGTGAGAGAGAGAGAGAGATAAACATATTTTCAAAGTCTTTAAAGAATGAATTCAAAAAAAAAAAAAATCTTACCTTTGATAGGGCTGAGGAAAATTAGGTGGGTAGATGTAGCCACTGGTGGAAGACATGGCGACTAACTGCTGTTGACGTGGTGTATTTAAATCTAGAAAAAAAATAAACAAAAATGTTTTCAAAAAAATATCAATTTCTCTCATTATAATGCAATCGTTGCATCTACCTCCTCGGCGCAAATACCAGACACAACACAGAAAATAAAACCAAGAAAGTTTATTTATACTTAATAGACTGTTGTGGAAAAAAAAATATAATAACGAAGATAAATGATAAATATACAATAAGGCAAATAAATGATAAATATCTCGAAAGTGAAAGATCAGAAGCTGTTTAACCTCAGAGTCACTGAATTTTTAGTGACCAAATTTTGTTATCGTTTTTTGTTCATAAATGACCTCTAAAAATTGTTATTATGCAAATAAATTTACACAACCTATTTAAATGTTCAAAATGGCCGCTACCTGTAGGAAGCCTCGTTATCGATTTCTAATATGAGCGATTTCGTTCAGAATGCGCCAGTGTGTCGTTCTAATTTTACTAAGCAGAAATTACAAGTTTGGAACAATCACCTTCTTTCATTCGTCATTATTTCCGCCTGCAGCAGATTTGCAAAATATCATGACTTATTTCCCGCCATTTATTATGATCTTGTGAAAGCTTATTTTGTCTCTGAAACTCATTATTTGTTGAGCATAGAATAACATTAACCCCCTGCCCTCTGTTTTGGTTTTCCTCTACTTTTTCCGGTTCCCTTGCCTATAAAACACAACTTAGCGAGCCCTTCATTATATTTTTAACCAGTTTGCTTCAAGACATTGCTAAAGATGATATCGAAGAGTGGCTACATTTATTGGCTTGATTATTTCCCCTTTGAGTCTCAGCTTGTGATCTGTCATAAGAGTATCATATAATTTTGAAAGGTTTCAAATGGAATCGGATTTTTTAAGCCCATGCCACCATAATCTAAACCATGCAAAAAATGTGAATTAATATATATAAGGTATATCTTCATTTTAGTGTGGATTAATATTCTTGTAAATTTCAGCATACCTTATATTTTCCAAAGTCAGTCCACCCAAGACGTATTCAGTGTTTTAATACAACTTCTTGGTGGTTGTTGAAAGACAGCTTGTGATCAAGATATACAAAATGAACCAGTTACAAGTAATTGCAATTGTAGTTATTCAAGGGCCTACATAAAACACAATGGGGCACTTCGATGTGGTGTAATAGTTATCAAGCGTGTGCCGCAAGATCAATTACGACTGAATAGTAAATTTGATCCCTACTGGATATGCCAGATACGCTTAGAAAAACACCACATTAAACCCAAAATGTAGGTGGGGAGGACTTATTTCCTTACAAGTTATTTATTGATCATTATCTTGTGTACCTGTGGCTTGAAGATAAAACTAAATTTTCATTTATTTTTTTTCTTGCAGTTTCCTTATTTTAAATTTTAATGAAGAAACGCCGAATCACGTCGACTTTGATAAGATATTCCGTAAGAACATAACAGTCAAATAAAGAGTCCTCATAAGTAGAACATACACCATAAGACTCGTAAGCAGACCCTTAAGAGGTGCGAAGCAAAGTTGTAAAATTAACAAGAGCCAGTTTTGATGCAAGGATAGGATGCTCATTCATTCAGAGTATAGCGGTTTTTGGAGGAAAAAGGCCTGTGTAGTTTTCTCCCAGGAGAAGAAAACTTGACGTAACTGTTTGAATGTAAAATAAAAAATCTAAAAAAAAACTAAAAAAACAAACTGAAACAATTCATCGCAAAGACAACCGGTGAAGCTCTTATTTTTCCAACAGAGTAGATAAGAAACTAGCCTTGTACAAAGGCTCTGAAATATTAAATAAGTTTGTCGGCTCATAAAATTAGGGAACATTTTTTTCAGAGTATTTTTTGTAGATTATCAATCTTTAAACCTTCCTTAAGTCGCCAAACTTGTTAGAATAAAAATTAAACAACAAAAAAAAAAAAACTATTAATTTATTGTAGATTTAAAAGATAATCCGCCTCGTCAGTCATGTATCGAAAGATACATGATCGCCGAAGCGTGTATCGCGCACACCACAAAAACTGACTGATTGCATTATAACCCAAAGGAGAAAAATGTTTTCGTGATAAGACTTAAATTGACTTATCCACTCTTAGGAAATAGGGAAACTTTTTTTTTTTAGGAAATGATTTTTATATATTCGCATTACTTTAAACCCTCTTCATGCCGCCAGAATCGGAAACTATCCAATTTTTTATCGATTTAGAAGTGATGTCTTGTTTATGATATCGATATATATATATATATATATATATATATTGTCAAATCGACAATGGCTTTCACAGCGATATCGGCTTTAGGATAAGTCATTTAACTTTTATTTAAATAAGACAAGTTTGAAAATGTGTTAATATTGATGTTTTTTTTTTTTTAATCATATTAATCAGTAATCCATATTTTAATCTTTTGTCCATGTTTAGAATATTGCTGCCACATATGGTCTGGTGCTCCTGCTATTTACCTTGAGCTCCTTGATAAAATACAAAGAGGAATCAGCAATAATATTGGTCCTGATCTGGTAGCTCGGCTTCACTCACTTCCCACCGTCGTAAGGTTGCTTCCATGTGACTTTTCTATAAATACTTTCATGGTAATTGTTTGAATGAGCTCTAGACTTTTTGAATTTAAGCGCAGTATTAGACTGGCGTCGAAATCTCATCAGTTTACTGCTGAGCTCTCCAGATGAAGCCTCAATTTCTACGCTAACAGCTTCCTTTCCCGCCCTTTAATCTTGTGAAACTCCCTTTTGGCTCCATACTTTCCAGCCAACTTTAATCTGCAAAAATTTAAATGTAATGCAATGTCAATCGCTATTTCTCAATCCAAGCCGGTATCCATTATTCCACCACGCCTAATGTAATCATATATATATATATATATATATATATGTGTGTGTGTGTGAAGTGCATTTTTTTTTTTTTAATATCAATCGTTTTTGTTTTGGCTTCGAAACACACCGCAGTATTTATTAGCAAGAGTTATATACTTTGTAGAGCGCATTTTTTTTTAATATTGTTTCGCCTCTCAAGATTCAAACGAGAAATATTTTTGGATAATATACAAAGAGGGACAAGGATTAGTTGAATCTTATTTTTCTTTGAATGACCCATTTTTTTTTTTTTTTTACCAGTCCTGTTTTAAGTGAGGTTATTTGTATTCGGAGACTGAAGTCCCGTCAAGGAGATCACCTTATCATATAAAGGCAATGAAATTTATACAAAACTTTGCACTGAAATAACTCGATGAAGCAACACAAAATAATAAATATATAAGAATAAGCGAAGTCAGAACATCTCTTCAATTACTATCTGAAAATTAGCAGTAGATTTGCTTTATTTACAGTTCGAAAAAGATACGGATCTCAACGAGAATTTAGAAAGAAAAATGAGGTCTGGTAACTCAGCTATAAACGGAGAAAATTCGTCACTCAGATTTCCATTTTAAATTTTCCCCCCGCTTTCATTTGTCTGCCTGTCGATGAGAAAAAAAGAAAAAAAAAAAAAAAAAACATTGACAAGAGACAAATAAAATAAAAAAAGATTGTGTTCCAAACCCGATTGCTAGCACTTAAAAGATGCTTAAGAAGTGAAAACAACACCGCTGCGACGGACATACTTATATGCTTTCCCAAAACTTATATTACCTGCTGTCGACACACATACTATATATCTCTGTGTGTGTATGTGTGTACACAATATCTTTGTGTTATAAACTAACGAGCGCGTCGTGTCAATTCCAAACCAAGTTAAACATTTCGTAACATACAAGGTGGTCCGAAAGTTCTGTCACCCCCTATTAAAAAGTAATGAAAACAACGACTAATACAGTAATACAAAGCACATTTACAGGGATTCATTCATTTTCACTGATGCTGTCACACATCGAGAACGTCTGTATGAAGACTATCATTTTGTTAGTCACAAAATGATGTGGCGCCATATCCTGGTTGATATTTTACGAAGCTGTGCTTCGTTGATCGTTGCAAAGGCTCTCCGAACGGCGTCCTTCAACTGATCGGCATTCTGGTATTCATGTGAAACTCTCCTAGATAATACCTTGATAATACCCCACAGAACGTTGAAACAGAAAATTATATTATGTAGTGGTGACAAGACTTTCGGACCACTCTGTACCATACGACCTGTTTTACGATGTATACTTTTATTGTGTTTTCATGTGTCATTTAGCTTAGTCTCAAATGCAGAGTACCGAAATCAAAATGGCGGCAACCATGAAAAATGGATGTCAGTGTCATATTTTTTCTTACTTTCATTATATGATAACTTCCTATCTTTCCTCACAAAAAGGAACGGGTCATCAGTGAGGTGCCAATGATTTTGAAATACAACACGTAAATTTGTATTAACACCATATATTTCGTTTGATTGAAACAATAACTCTTGATATCAACTCGACGTGGATACGTGGTGGGCCTACTTAAATACACTGGTCCGCTTATAAACAAAAAATATAGGGAAAACTTTGTTGGGGAATAATCTTTATAGATTTCTATCCATTAGACGTTACTAAAGTCACAACATTTGTCAGAATAAAAACAAATATTGATCTTTTTAACTATTTACAAGTAGGTCTTGTTTTAATATCGATCTCTGATATTTTAAGTGTTATGAAACTTAGTTGTTACTATCAAACTTGATATTTGTAAATATCTTTACATTATCGATAGAAACACTTTGATAATTTTCTGAATTTTCTAAACTTAAAAAAATTTTTTTGTGGTGGATATTTTTCGTACGCACATGTACAAACATTGGAGGATAATTATTTATCTTAAATAAAAATAAACGGAAATATAGTTTTATCATTTCATGCAATATTTTAATTTTTAATTTAAAAAAAAATGTATACATCCTTTGTTCTTTATTTAAAAGAATTTTTTTGTAAAAAAGAAATGTTACGAAGAACAGCTAAACATAATAATTCTGTAAAATCGGGGATCGATTTGACAATGTATCAATATTATAAACAGAAACTCCTTTTTATAATGATAAAAAAATGAATTAATTTTTTGATTCTGATAGTTATCTTGACTTGAGTAAGTTACACAAGTTATCTCCCCTTTACACTTATTTATAAGTGAACCAATCTACTGAAGTAACAAGTGTCTCTAAACTATGAGTTCCCAACCCTTTTTTGTGTCAAGGTTCACTTTCACACGGAAAAAAATTCACTGCCCACCCGTATAGTAAATATTCAAAATCATACCGAAATATTTGGTAAAAGTTTGGTAAACTAACGTTAGATGTAATTAAAAAATATACCAAAAGGTAGGTAACAAACAACGCTGATTTATGTGTCACGGCTACTGCGACTAACGTGTTAAAGAACAAACGAAAGAAAAAACACTGTTATATATATATATATATATATATATATATATATATATATATATATATATATATATATGGTACCTCTTCAGGTGATGGCAGATAACTAATGATAAAAAATGATTTATTAGGCAAATTTAAAGCAAATCTTTACCTCTCTTCGTTAATTAAGGAGGGGGCGAAAAACTTACGAAAAGATGGAAAGATTTGTTTTTTAAATTTTCCTAATAAATCATTTTTATCATTAGTTATCTACCATCGCCTGAAGAGGTACCATCTTAGTAATGAAACATGAAATTTTTTTTTGTGTAACGATGTAAAATGTTTTTATTGTAATTTATTATAATAAAATTATTATAATATATATAATACCAACATATTCCTTGTTTGTGGGGATATTTATATCTTATCTATGAATGTGACCCAGTTATTTCCATTTGACCTCCTGTTATTTTTTTTTGTATATAGGTTCTTTGCATATCACCTTTGCATACCCTTTTAATCCTCAAGATCCTATATCGGCCACCAAAATTTCCAATCCACCCCATCATTTTTTGTTCGGTGGCTCATTGTCCACCCAAAAGTTGGAATCACTCGAGTTGGGAAACCCTGCTCTAAACACTACTGTTTTAACATATATCAATACCCTTTCCTGTCCATTACTCTTGTAGCAAGTTCATTCTTGATATGGTGCTCATCATGTGGTTTTCTTTGACTGCTTATTTCATATTAATATTCATGCTGTTTACAGTTTTCACTAAACTCGCCTTGAAAACCTAAAGTCTTTCAATTTGGAGCCAGAGACACGACGTAAGCCCAGCAATGCTAGGAAAAAACTGACGAGTAACAAATTCCAGAGGATTATTGAGAAAACTTCCTTTGACAGATATACAAGTTCCGTGTCTAGCCTGTATTTTCACATGCTTCACAAACGTGTGTAACAGTAAAATTGTCCAAATCATGTAAAATCAAATTTTTCCATTTGTTAAATCCAACTTTGAACCGTTGTATCTTAACAATGATTAAATACATATTTTATAACACTATTTGGACTCTACTTTGAGCAATAAGAATATATAGTTACTCTCCAAGCTTAACAGAAGTATAATGATGAAATCGATCATAAACGAAAATGACATGTTCATCATTATTTAATCATAGCTCAAATTGATATCACATGTAACTTGAGGAATGACATAATCAAGATATTGATGTCCCATACTACTTCAAACAAAAGCTTAGGAAGGAAAGCCACATCATTACTGGAAAGAGCGATAACGGATAGTGAACTCAAAAAACCTATTTAAAAATGTTTTACTAGAAAGATTTTATAAATTAAAATCGACGGTAGCAGTGGCTGCTCGGTTAATGATTATCGAATGTTTCCTTATAAGGAATCACCTAATATTACTATTATTGGTACAGCTAATGAAAACAGGTACTACACTTTGTTTCAAGCCTGATGGCCAGTGAATAAATAAAAGCGTAACGCAAACAGCACTACCTAATATTTCCTTATAAGGAAACGGCTCATATTACCATTAGAGATGATGGATGGATGGATTGTTTATGTTTTTTTACCAGCATAAATGCTGAAACTGGATTTTTATTCAGATATATTTCAGAACATTTCAAGTGCTTGTGAGGTTTTAAAAGTGTTTTCAAAATATCACAAGTTATATAGTTCAGGAATATTTTAAAACTTAAGTTGTATGGTTCAACATGATTGCTCTATTTTCTATAGAAGTTAGAAATATTTTATTTTCCTCAGATATCCTATTATTTAGACAATAGGTACATTTCTGAAGAGCATGTTAAGATTTAGAGCTTGGTAATAGTTGCTATGTATTTTTTGTGCTCCTTACATTCTATCAAGATATGTTTGACTGTGAGAAATTGGTTGCAGTAAGTACACTGAGGGACAGTTTCTGCCTTGTGCATGTATATGCATGTACGTTTCCAATACTTATTCTGTCAAGCACTATGTCTTGTCTGCAATCAGCTAATGGTCTTATATTCTCCTTTCTTATTGTCGGCTGATATTCATATAGTTTATTATTTGGGTACGTATCCCAAATTGCTTGACATTTTCTCTAAATGTGTTGCGTCATTTTCTTTTTATAATCTGTATATGGGAGTTTTATGTTGTTAATTTTCCTTATAAGTAAACGACTAATATTAGCATTGGTGCCAATTTCTGAGCAAGTGAACTGAAAAATAAAAAAAAATATTTTTCTTTACGTTTGAACAACATTGAGTGGTGTTAACAGGATTAAATTTTAAAAGATAAAATCATTTTTTTAAAAAGTCGTTGAGCGAGCTTCTATGATTACAGAATATTTTATGTTTTTTTTTCTTTAAAAGTATTACAATCTCGAGGTCAAAGAAGAAGCTATCAGCCGTTTGAGCTTCAGTTGCTGCTTGTTTCATGACAAGTCCAGGGGAATAAAATAAACATCTTGATAAAAAAAAGGCTTTTTAAAATTCGATTAGTAATGAAAGAACAACATTTGAAAAGTTAATCTTTCCACTCCAATTATAAAACGTCTCATACATTTTCATTAAAAAGAAGTGGGAGGCGAAAATCTTTCCTCTTTAATCAGCAAGACAAAAGTGAGCAAAATGAAAAAAAAAAAAGGGGGGGGACTTTGGTCAACTTACCAGGAACTGAGTAGTAGGATGCAAGAAATCCATGACTCCCGTTAGCATTTCTCGACGAAAAAACAACCATCAGTTTTCTTCCCGTTGACATGTACGTTGGCTTGGATTCCCCGCATGACACACCCAATAATTTGTTGGATAGTTCATCGCCTGTTTGCAAAAGAAGAGAATTTGGAATCTTATTTAACACGTTCTCGGTGATTACAGATAACGCGATCCCTTGAATAAGTGTTATAATAAAAAGAAATAATTTGAAAAAAAAAAGATGCTTGTAGATAATAGGACAAAATCTGTTCTAATTTTAAATAAAAACTCCACTTCCAAAATCTAAAAATTTGAAAAAAAACAGTCTAATTTTTTTTTTTAGATAATAGGACAAAATTGTTCTAACCAAAAAGGATAAATAAGCACTCACTTTTCCAAATGTCTAAAATAGTTTTCACCAGGTACCCCATACTTTTATATAAATGCTTGAAAATAACTATATAAACATACAGTCTAAGTTTTTTTTTGTTTTCTTTTTTTTAGATATCCTGCCACGACTCTTCCTTTGATGACGATGTATAAAAAGATCAAAAAGGACACTTCGAGGTGGTGTAATTGTTAGCAAGCTTGTCTCGCTAGAGTTCGATCCTCACTGAGTGTCCCATACTTTCGGCCTTGTACTATATCTAAGCTACGCTTGGAAAATCCCTATGAACGACTAAACATTCTGTTATTAGAACATACCTGTCCCATTATAATTTAGTAATAGTGGTGAGGGTTTGTGCAGAAACTCGCACTTTGCGAAAGTAACAATGACTGGCGCATAATGTGCCATGAAAAGTCGAAATAGCGCCCTCACATTTTGAATTAAGCGTTGCCATTCTCCTAGACTTTATTTTAATCATTTCAATAAAGCCACTAAAACCTAAGACAGATTACTGAGTGTGAGAGAATATGAGAGAGAAAAAAAACAGAAACAAAAAAAAAATTACTATTCATGCCAGAGATTTAGACAAGATAACAACTGACTTTGATCTTCAAAAATTTAACTGCAAAGTTGACAAGAAAACAAAAAAAAAGTCGAAAGAGAGTTCCATAAGCAAAAAGTGTGTTAAAAGAAACTGTTAGCAGAGAAGTTACGGTTACATTTATCAATTTCAACTGTAAAATGATGAGACCTATCTGCCAATCTAGTACTCCACTTAAATTCATAAAGGCTACCTGCCATAGAGGAAGAATGGTATCAATCAAGAATCATCAAGTATTTATAAAACACACGGAAGCTACGTTATGGCGGAAGGAAAGTTACTGAAGCCGAGATGTCAGATCAGAGCCAATAACGTTGCAAGTTCCTATTTGGGTTTTATCAAGAATCTCTAAATATATATCAGAAGCACCATACCAGATATGGCAGCAACAGACAAATGGTAGATTTATAAATATCTAAGATAAATTCGCCAGATTCTATCTTTGTTGGTTGTCGTCAAAGGCTAAAATCCCTGTCTGCTTTGCTATTTAATCCATAGCTAAGGTGGGAAGAGATGAATTCATATATTTCCCAATAGTATTTGTGTTTAAGTGGATATAACCAGCTCTCCGATTTCACGTTCCGAGCCGCATTAGAGATAATTACGCAGCATATCCAAACGGCCTTCAGCTTTGGAAATGAGCGGCCAGATATTTGGATTAACTTTCCAACTATATTGGTTGTTCTTGTATATCAAATACAAGTGCAGGCACATTTAATTCACCCTCCCCCCCATCTCGGTTAAAGTCATTATTTGTTACGGTACAGTTATTATTTTTCAAATAATTTTCAGCGAGGTACGCCTTTTTTCTCTCCAGATTCATGAACTAGAACTTTCCCATCGACATGAAAATTTCAGAAAGCAATTGCATTTGATAGAAAAAAAAAAAAAGTATTCTTAAACCTAATCGGTACTTACGAAGTTCAGCTTAAACTGTCTCAAGGCCACAAGTGTAGTTGTAGTGCGTATCGAACTCGTTATGTAGTAGTCATAACTTGAGACACCATTGTTATTCAGTTTCTGTTTATGCATTAGGAATTTACCTTTTTTTTTAAAAGGCTATTGTAATGACGAATATATCATCCAAGCGTCTAGTCATATTTCGCAGTTAAGAATTGACAAAAAGAAATATCGAAAACCGGCCTCAAAGGTGGAGCTCTATGCAAGAAAGGTAATACTGTGCTTGTGGTAAGATCCTGGGAGAATTATTCATTTAGAGTTCGTAAAACGCAATGAAATAGTGAATACACATTTTTAGTTCTAGTAGCTGCAACATATCCATAAAAGTTGCATCTAACAGTGACCTGCGATCACCTACAGGTAAAACGATGACGACTCAAGGTTACAAACAGTAAGATTAACACAGTCAAAAAAGAAAAAAAAAAAAAAAGAACGCGTTTGGTCTTAACCCGCCCGCCATATTCACTTGTGCTTGCACCAGACATTTATTGCCTTTTTCCGATCGCTGTCAAACGCTTTGAAGTGGAAAACTTTCTCTAATAACAAAAAAAAAATAAAAATAAAAATACAAAAAAAAAAAAAAAAAAAAAAAAAAAAAAAAAAAAAACAAAAAAAAACAAAAAAAAACAAACAAAAAAAAAAAACAAACAAAAACCAAAAAAAAAAAAAAAACAAAAAAACAAATTCAATAGTTCGTCGAAAATTTTTCACATTAAAACCTACGGGGTTTTAAGCGGTACCGATGAGCCAACTGCTAAGTAGCAACAAGTAGCAAATAATCGTGAATATATAACTGAATAAAATTTAATTGTAGTTTACTTTTTGAAAAATAAAGACGATAAACCAAAACATAAATTATTTATAACTCATCTTAAGACACCTTTCGAACGACTACACCACTTTAGTCATCAATCATTGCTTTTGCTGAAGAGTCACGCTTGTCTTCTATTGAATTCTGTAATAGCTAACGTGTTTAATACTTGAATTCAATTCTCTACTCAGGAGAATACAGCTGGTATGATTAAATTTACAGAGTTTTCCTTGCTATAAATCTGGCTAATAAATAACGTAGAACATTAAAATTTAACTTAAAGTGTCAAATATTCTCTTTATAAAAGATTATCATTGGAATTTTTGATATATTTTATTTATACTAGCAAAGCGACAGTGCGAATTTCAGTGGGGTCTGGATACAAGCTAAAATTATTGATAAAAAATATTTAAGATGTTAGTTTTCACAAGAGCTCCTTCAAGTCCCGTTAAGGTTTTCTGCAAATTAAAAAAAATACATTTTTCTTGGTTAGGCTTTGCAGCTGAAGAATTTGCAAGCTTGATGTTGCGAAGTTCTAATTCCTTTGTGTTACTACTCAGTGCTCATACGTTGTCCCCCCTCCTCTTCCTAATCGAAGTCATTATATAGCCTAGCTATTCCGGACATGTTAATTACTCAGTCTACATATCACTACACTTGACTTTTAAGACCTGGTGTAACTTGACCACTGGATTAAGTAACAGATTGGTCTATATGTACAAGATCATAAAAGTTGTTTCGACTTGAAGCTACACTGCACAGTTCAGTGTGATTTCTCATCATAAACATGGCTGTTCGTTTCATATCCTGTCCTGTCTGCTCGGACCAATATGTATTTCTTCATTACCCAGAGAGCTCTAAAATGATTATTTATACTGTGTTATATAGGAATAAAGTGTCGCGGTTGCTATTTGAGTTTCAAAATAGACCGCCAGTGAGCAAACACAGGCGACCCTATTATTGAATTAAGTAGATCACGTGACCATAGAGGAAACACATAACTAGGAATTAGTATTGTGTCTAACTGATCTCCTTTTCTAGTTTATCAGTATTCGGATCGCTATTTATATTCTATCCTCTAATGCTATACGGACCGCTATTCATTACTATAGTCACTATAATATTTCTCTATTCGGATCAATACGGTGATTACTATTCGAACTAGTATTATCGAGAAAGTAGTATTAGTGCGAGTGATATTCGAAGGTGTCTGACACCAGTATTGCTCAACAGCATTACTTTTAGTTGTATCTGCGATTACAAAGTCTTTTCTACAAAGAACATTACGAAAGTGGTAACTAGTGTTGGTTGACATGACAAAATACTGCAACTATACTAAGTGGACCTTTTTACAATTCAAGTGTCTATCCACCAGGACCACATACGATTTATATTTGAAATAACAATGCTAATAAATTTTGAATTGACTTTCTTCTCATTGGCAACCAAAATCAGCGTATCATCATCAGGTGTGATCGCAGGGTCTTGGACAAAGTAGTGGGGTTATTTTCTCTCAAGGTCACTACTATTACAACAACAAAAGTGATGATAATGATAATAATTATAATTATCATCATTATTATTGTAACAGTAGTAATAATTCGTAGAAATAAAAAAAGGAAAAGAAACTGACCATGTATGAAATGAAGCTATATTTGTCCCATATATAAAGAAAGTGAGTTAAGAGCCGTCTATCCCATAGGACTGATATCGGCTGTCTTCACTGCGATTAATATAAAGGCAATATTACAGCCAAACATTAAAGACTATGAAACACAGTTTTTAGCTTAAATATTTAATGAACACGGGTTTGTAATCAAAACTTTAATACGCTGATAATAAATGCCCATAAATTAATGACCGATTAAAAAAAAAAAAAAAACGCTATTAGTTTAGGTGACTCGTCTTGCTGTTAAGAGAGAACACTTATTAAAATCATATCACAGGCTGCAAAAATATTTTAAAATATTTTATGGTTTGTATTCAGAAACCAAGGAAACAAAACCAGAACAATTATCAAATTTACGAATTGCTGATCCAGATATGGATTTTTTGAAATATAGAATTATCACCGAATCTTAAAAATCACCTGAGGTTTTATTATTACTTAAATGAAAGAAAATGTTTTTTATAAATTCTTTTATGTTCGTCTCTTTTGAAACCGAAGCATTATTAAATAACAGTTTTAATAATCTGGAAACTTAAAGTTCACTAAAATCTAGAAGAAATAATACTAATGCTACTACTACTGTTAGCTTTAATAAAGCGCATATAAAAGGGTTTCTGTCAATTTCTGGTCATCCTCCGAATTCTGATAAATCGATCGCACAGAAGAATCAGACCGGAAATAAGGCAAGAACAGTGCG